TATGATGGTGATATAGAGTTGATAACAGATATAAAATATGATGTTGATATAGAGTTGATAACAGATATAAGATATGATGGTGATATAGAGTTGATAACAGATATAAGATATGATGGTGATATAGAGTTGATAACAGATATAAGATATGATGGTGATATAGAGTTGATAACAGATATAAGATATGATGGTGATATAGAGTTGATAACAGATATAAAAAGGAAAATACAGGAACTTCTGCAGTAGGTAATGAAGGAAAGCAAGAAGAAAGGACTAACTATTGATTGCATGGTTGTTAGCAAAAGGAAAAGCCTAACATGCAAATCCAACATGCAGAACAATTTAAATATCTGGGAAGTGTTTAAACAGAATGGAAAGTACAACAAGGCATATAGTTATTGTGAAAGTTACTTTCTAAAAGCTAAGCGAAGTATTAAGAAACATGAAAATTTCATTAGAAACAAAGAAAAGAGTACTGAACTGTGACATAATATTGGTTCACTTATACGGCAATGAATCCTGGACAAATATTTCTGATAGTACGGCAAAAATACGTTTGCAGATTCAACACCAAATTTTGCAATATTTTTATCAGTTCTATTCTGTCAGTAATCCTTACTTGTCTTAATTCTTTATCCCTGGTAATCTTTTCTGTATAACATCTAGATCAGGGTTATGAAGCTTAAGGAATTGAAAGGACCATTATATGCTGAAAGAAAGATGAAGTGGGTAAGAAACAAGCACATTGCCAAGATATCTTTACTTTTGTTTTAGTTGGTTTCAGTACTAAATTTAGATCAGTTGTTGGAAACACATGGCTCACAGGCCACATGCTGTTCACAGACTGTTTTTCTACAGCCTACAGGTAATCATTGTCATGACCAATATTTTCCTCAAATTTTCATAAGTTTAATAAATTTGTCCCTTAATCCTTCCATACTTTTGCAGTGTCAGCTGCAAACAATCAGTTTTACGGTCAGCAGTGCTTGCTCTAGTTCCTCTTCAGGGAAGGGATGAAAATTTGAACACCACACCACAACATTATTTATCAGGTACCTGAGGGGAAATATACAAAAGTACTATGCAACAATGTCTCAGTCTATTTTTAATCTTATAAGAAATAAATTTAACAAACCTGAGCTCCCTACTCCAAAAATTCTTGCCCCTACTATGTTTGAAGGTGATGCAAACTAATTTTAAAACAAAAAATGCTTCTGTCAGTGGGCCCCACCATTAGAATTAATTCCCACCCCTTTGGTGATATCTTGGCAATGTGCTTGTTTCTTACCCACTTCATCTTTCTTTCAGCATATAATGGTCCTTTCAATTCCTTAATTTTTAAATAACCCTGATCTAGATGTTATACAGAAAAGATTACCAGGGATAAAGAATTAAGACAAATAAGGATTACTGACAGAATAGAACTGATATAAATAAGAAAGAAAGCATGAAAAAATTAAAATTGTGAAAAATAAACAAAACAACCAATATCATCAACTGCTACCAGGAATCATTCAACTACAGGCCGTAACCGGTAATCTGTCTACTACAGGCGTAATAATTGTACTGCATATTTGTAACGGTAACCGGTCTGCTGCAGGCTGTAACCAGGTCTGCAGGCTGTAACCGGTTACTACAGAAGTACACTGTGAATGTCTACTACAGGCCGTCCAAAATCATATATAATGGTTCATATACAGGCCGTAACAAAATTGTTGGTAATAATCATATAATACATAATCGGTTACACTACAGGGCGTAACCGGTAATCGGTCTACATTACAACCGTAAATTTAATCGGTCTACTACAGGTCGTAATCGGTAATCGGTCTACTACAGGTCGTAATCGGTCTACTACAGGTCGTAATCGGTCTACTACAGGTCATAACCGGTAATCGGTCTACTACAGGCAGTAACCTGTAATTATTTCACTACAGACTCTCACTGGTAATCATTTTACCATAGATGATGACCTGTAAGCAGTCTACCAAGAGACAGCCAGTGGAAATTGTTATCATACACAGCCATAGAAATCAGGAAAATTCTTAGTGACCAGAAATTAATATAAATGCTACTGATAGGACAGGTCTATTTATATATATTTAATGACTAATGAAATAAGTCCATTTGTAACGAAGCAATCAATGAAAGAAATAGTTTTTGATACGGCTACTTGGACATGGCTGACAAACTTCAGAATAATCATCAGCATAAATCCCATGGGTGGTGAGCTGTCAATTTAGTTTGATCTCTTTAGTGCAGGGAGTCTCAACCAGGAGGGAGGGGGGGCATACTTTCAACTTGGGGGGGCATCTCTCAACCGAGGAGGATTTCAGGGTTTCAGGAGGGAAGGGAAAATCTTTTACTTTTTCACAAGTTTCTCATTGACTAATCATCATCTCAATAAAATCAGTTTAAATACCCTGAACTATTATTGAACTTTTTGTTTATCAAATTACAATACCCTGGCATTCTATTGAACTTGTTGTTTATTGAAGTATGCTTCAGTTTATTTATCTGATAATTAGTCATGAATTAAAGTAAATGATTGTACATGAATGCAAGTTTTAAAATCCATCAACATTTTCTATTGCTATTAAATCTTTAAAACTCCTCCTATAAAAGTAATCCATGTAAATGTATATATACTTATATGATGAAGAATGAATATTATTTGGAATGCAACCTTTTGAGTTGGATAATTTTGGGAAGAGGGGGATTGACATTTTGACTTATGGTAAAAGGGTGCATTGGGCAAAAAAGTTTTAGAACCACCGTGTTAGATGTTACTTTGACTATCACTAGAACTTCAAATAAAAATCATTCATATAAATATATATAGGGGCTGCAAAAGTAGGTATACAGTAAGTATTAATTATTAGTACCATTAAAAAACAAGTATTATAATAGTGGTTATAAGATTAATTTAATACAAGAATTGCTGTATACCTACTTTTGCATGTTTGTACTAAGATGGAAAAGAATGATAATTTTCAATAATATATGTATATTATTTGGAATACGTCTTTTGAGTCGGATAATCTTAGAAAGTGAGGGAATTGAGATTTTCCAAGCGTAGATGTGGCACAAGGCCGAAAGTATGGGGCACCCAGTGAGGATCGAACTCACTACTCAGTCGTAATTGTTCTAGCAAGATGATCTTGCTAGCCATTACACCATGCCGAGGTGCTCTGGAAAGTGAGGGAATTACATTCTGACATATGGTAAAAAGGGTGCATTGGGCAAAAATAGATGAGAAGCACTGAACTAAAGAAAATAACATTGTGCCAAGTTTCAATAAGCAGTTTGTACATCAGATTATATTATATACTAGCTGAATTACCCATGCTTTGCTGTGTCTCACACATTTTTTGTAAGAAAATAATGATTGATTGTCATTTTTGGAGAAAAATGATTCATTTCAATATTACTCAATATTTTTCTGATGTGACCTCCATCTTCTGGCTTCTTCTGTATTTTGGAGAGGAATTATTCCCTTGTTCAAATTTAAATTTAATTTAAATCAAAAGGAAAAAAAAATTCAATGGAGGGTTTATGCAAAAATAGCTCGATCTGACCTCTTTGATATATATTTGATACAATACTTGATTGAATGAATTGATGAGCAGATTTCAACATTGAATTGCCGCAACAAATATGTATTGTAAGATACAACACACTGATTGATGATTTCTTGCTCAACTTGGCGTCCATATTGTTTTATTTTGAGCTTGCCGATGTGACCTCCATCTTCTGACTTTCTCCTTCTATATTTTGGATGGGAGTCATTCAAAATCAAATCAATTTAAATCAAAGGAAAAAAAAATATTCTGACCTTTTATTGAACTTTTTGTTTATTGAAGTATGCTTCAGTTTATTTTTTTTGATAATTAGTTATGAATTAAAAGAAATGACTGTACAATACATGTATTCAAGTTTAAAAATCCATCAACATTTTCTATTGCTATTAAATCTGTTAAACTCCTCTATAAACATAACCCATGTAAATGTATATATACTCATATAGAAAAGAATGAAGATTTTCAATAATATATGCATATTATTTGGAATGGACCTTTTGTCAGGCAATCTTAGAAAGTGGCGGGAATGACATTCTGACTTATGGTGAAAAGGGCGCATTTGGCAAAAAAATGGTTGAGAACCACTGAACTAAAGAAAATAACATTGTGCCAAGTTTCAATAAGCAGTTTGTACATTGAATTATATTACATACTAGTCAAATTACGTGCCCTGCTGTGTGTCACACATTTTTTTGTCAGAATAAAATCAATTTAAATACCCTGACCTTTTATTAAAGGTTTTGTTTATTGAAGTATGCTTCAGTTTATTTATCTGATAATTACTTATAAATTAAAACAAATTACTGTACAATACATGTATTCAAAGTTTAAAAATCCATCAACATTTTCTATTGCAATTAAATCTGTTAAATTTGTCTATTAAAATAATCTATGTAAACGTATATGTACTTGTATGGAAAAGAATGAAGACTTTTCAGGGATTGAGAACCACCTCTTTAGTGCAGGGGTTGGCAACCTGTGGCATGCCATGCAATTTCCAATGGCACGCACCCGCAAATGACATCACAAAGTCAGAACCAATAACTACTACCAATGTATATGTACTCATATGGAAAAGAATGAAGATCTTCAATAATATATACATATTAGTTGGAATGCACCTTTTGAGTTGGACAACCTTGGAAAGGGTACATTGGGCAAAATAGGATGATTAAAGTGTTGGTTCATGAATGTGGTTACATAGTAATGGTGAGTTCAATCCCTGGGCCCTGCAGTGTGTACATGGGCTCAGTGGAAACAAGGCAAGCAATAACTGAATAATGAAAACTACTACAATGCAAAGAAGATATTTAGCCATTTCCATTTTAACATATACTAAAGTATATTACTATATAAAATATATTGTAGAAAAGGTATATTGACCTTGACTTGTATAAAAATTCGTATGCTGTTGGCACATAGTTAGCAAAAGATTGTCGGACCCTGCTTTAGTGCATTGGCATAAAGAGAAGAGAAGAGATTGTGAGCATTAAGTGTCATGACATATGGGTTAAGAGAAAGAAGCTATGAAAATGTTGATGAGTCAAGTCCCCTGACACTAGTGAAAGGACCCCCTAGATCAGGCATGGGTAACCATTTTCAAAAAGTGGGCTACATGAGGTATGGCTCATTATAGGACGGACCACACTACTAAAAATATCCATCATAAATTTTCAATGAAAATGCATCAGTCATTTTTTTAACTACGGAAGATCATACATAGAAGTATCTGATCAGAAATGGGGGAAAATTGTTTCATTTTTCCTTTGAAGTATTTTCAAAAATGAAAAAAATATTGAACTCTTGGTATATTATTATCACTGATTGATATGTTATTAACACAAACTACTACATGAGAGTTATTTTTAATTTATTCATTTGGGTATACAAAGAAAAATATATTACTTCTTCAGATAGATAAAAACTATGAATGTTTCTTCTTTCTAAAGCATAAAATGGTTACAAATATGATCATCCTTAGTGTAAATCACCAAGGGTTTCAAATGTTGAAAAGGTTACCTTTAATGAAATGTTACAAAATTCAGGAAACATTGTTATTAATTATTGTTATTTATGTCATTATGTATGAGAAAATGTGAGTGAACAAGTGAAAATAACAAACAAAATTTTAATGAAAGTTATTTTTCTCATGAAATTAAGTGTGCCATCCAGAATGCCAAACTGCAGTTTACTCATGACTGCCCTGGATCATAATGAAGATTTCTGGAAGATTCCAAAAGGTAAAACAAAAGATAAATTAGTTTTGGTGCATGCTGTGCCAGGTGTCATTTAAAAAAGGTACAACCTCTTGAACAGCAGACTAATACCTTTTAACTGAATACAATTTAAATTTACAGACAGTTAAATTTCTACTCAAAAGATATATCGGTTTTGGTACTGGAAAAACAAACTTGGTACGTTGTGCAAGAGAATGTATCTTATAAATTTCAGGGAAATGCTTTAACAATTGATAGAAAATATTACACAGAAACCCAAATGTGTATCAGAATAACCAAAGATTTTTTTTCAAAAGCTAAACAAAATGAGAGACAGGAAAATTTTACCAAAATCAAAGAAAAGAGTGCTCAACTGCTATGTAATATTAATCCTTTTACATGGCAGTGAATGAGGGGTAATTTCCTGATAGGCAAAACAATAGAGATGTGGTATTACAGTAGGATGCTGAGAATACCATAGGCGAGAAAGAGAGAAAAACGAGAAGAAGAGAGAGAGAGAGAAAAACGAGAAGAAGAGAGAGAGAGAGAAAAACGAGAAGAAGAGAGAGAGAGAGAAAAACGAGAAGAAGAGAGAGAAAAGAGAAAAGAGAGAGAAAAAACGAGAAAAATTTAAAGAGAGAAGAGAGAGAAGAAAACGAGAAGAGAGAGAGAAAGGGAGAAGAAGAGAGAGAGAGAGAAAGAAGAGAGAGAGAGAGAAAAAAAGAGAAGAAGAGAGAGAAAAAAAAATAGAAGAAGAGAGAGAGAGAAAAGAAAAGAGAGAGAGAGAAAAAGAGAGAGAGAGAGAGAGAGAGAAAAAGAGAGAAGAGAGAGAGAGAAATGAAGAAAGAGAGAGAGAGAAAAAGAGAGAAGAGAGAGAGAGAGAAAAAGAAGAAGAGAGAGAGAGAAGAGAGAAGAGAGAGAGAGAGAAAATTGAGAAGAAGAGAGAGAGAGAGAGAAAACGAGAAGAGAGAGAGAGAGAGAAAGAGAGAAGAGAGAGAGAGAGAAAGAGAAAAGAGAAGAGAGAGAGAGAAAATGAGAAGAGAGAGAAAGAGAGAGAAATGAGAAGAGAGAGAGAGAAAGAGAAAAAAGAGAGAGAGAGAGAGAGAAAAACGAGAAGAGAGAGAGAGGGAGAGAAAAACGAGAAGAGAGAGAGAGGGAGAGAAAAACGAGAAGAGAGAGAGAGGGAGAGAAAAACGAGAAGAGAGAGAGAGGGAGAGAAAAACGAGAAGAGAGAGAGAGAGAGAGAAAAATGAGAGAGAGAGAGAGAGAGAAAATGAGAAGAGAGAGAGAGGGATTTTTAAAACGAGAGAGAGAGAGAGAGAGAAAATGAGAGAGAGAGAGAGAGAGAAAACGAGAAGAGAGAGAGAGAGAGAGAAAGAGAAGAGAGAGAGAAAGAGAGAAAATGAGAAGAGAGAGAGAGAGAGAAAACGAGAGAGAGAGAGGGAGAAAAATGAGAAAGAGAGAGAGAGAGAGAAATGAGAAAGAGAGAGAGAGGAGAAAAAAACGAGAAGAGAGAGAGAGGGAGAAAAACGAGAGAAGAGAGAGAGAAAAAAAAGAGAGGGAGAAGAAAAAAAAAAAAGAGAGAGAGAGGAGAAAAAAAAAGAGAAGAGAAATGAAAAAAAAAGAGAGAGAGAGGAAAAAAATGAGAAGAGTTTGTGAGAAAAAAAAGAGAAGAGAGAGAGAAAAAAAACGAGAAGAGAGAGAAAAAAAAAGAGAAGAGAGAAAAAAAACGAGAGAGAGAGAGAGAAGAAAAAAAAAAGAGAAGAGAGTGAGAAAAAAAAAACGAGAGAAAAAGAGAGAGAAAAAAAAACGAGAAGAGAGAGAGAAAAAAAAGAGAGAGAGAGAGAGTGAGAAAAAAAAACGAGAAGAGAGAGATAAAAAAACGAGAAGAGAGAGAAAAAAGAGAGAAGAGAGAGGAGAAAAATTTGAAGAAGAGAGTGAGAAAAAAAAAACGAGAAGAGAGAGTGTGAGAAAAAAAACGAGAGAGAGAGAGAAAAAAACGAGAAGAGAGAGAGTGAGAAAAAAAACGAGAAGAGAGAGAGTGAGAAAAAAAAACGAGAAGAGAGAGTGAGAAAAAAAAAAAAAGAGAGTGTGAGAGAAAAAAAAGAAGAAGATCCAAGTGAGAAAAAAAACGAGAAGAGAGAGTGTGAGAAAAAAAACGAGAAGAGAGAGTGTGAGAAAAAAAACGAGAAGAGAGAGTGTGAGAAAATACAAGAAGAGAGAGAAACAAGGAAATGAGTAAAATAGAAAAAAGTAAAAGAAAATGAAAAAAGAGAAAAGGAAGAATTCAAACTGCTCTGAGACTAATTTTACAGGACGGTCAATTTTCAGGATGTGAACTGAATTAAATCAGGGCAATTGCATTGTGCGTGTAAACATAGTAAATGTTAACATGGACCTATTAAATAAAAGGCAAACTTCATGTTTGTAAGCCTAAAAAGAGAAGAAAATAACTCAGCCTATTTTTGAGAATAACATCTCCACTTCATGAGTTACCTCCCCTACTGGAAGACAGAATTGAATTATAAATGTGATCTATACTCTTAGTTGGTTCAGACATTATCTAAAACCGTTTCTATTTTCATTCTAATATCTATAAACAGTGTGTGAATAAAAACTTTATTGATTTTTATTTATAGTTGTTCTCTTATAATTATCTCTTATTGAAAATAAAGGAAAAATATCACTTAAAGAAGGCTGGAGTGTACAACATCCAAATGTTGTGAATGTGACAATAAAGATGAGAACAACAGTCCAAAAAATGTAAATAGTGTAAATAGTTATAATACTTCATCTGAGAAATAGAGACAGATGTTGATGGTGAATATGACAATAAAGATGAGGACAACAGTCCAAATAATGCAAATAGTGTAAATAGTTATAATACTTCATCTGAGAAATAGAGACAGATGTTGATGGTGAATATGGCAATAAAGATGAGGACAACAGTCTAAATAGTGTAAATAGTGTAAAGGACAATTTTTCATCGTAAAAGAAATAGAGACAGATGTTGATGGTGAATATGGCAATAAAGATGAGGACAATAGTCTAAATAGTATAAATAGTTAAATACCTCATCTGAGAAATATTGACAAATATTACAAAATACCTTGTTAATCTCAGCCATAAAATAAATTATTTTGTTAAATTAATGATATTATTCTTATAAATTATATGAGGTAAGTAGTGGCATTTACAGAGATTGTGGTGTACATCTTGGATAAAATATCAGATCATCTCATGTAACATCTGAGTTTAGGACCAATTGTAATCTCCTGATGAACAAGATGGTCTCCAGTAGGAATCCATTTATCATCATACAAGATAAAGCTAACACCCTGTTTGGTCAAAATTCAGTCCTTTTGGTCAAGAGACTGGAGTGACTTCTCCAGGATGCAGGTATATAGAAGTTGTCCATTGTCCAGACCACATGGCCCCTCTCCACCTCATGTCTGTACTAATAGGATCCAAAAGCATGATATTTGGGGCCAGCATGGTTGCTGGAGTTTCCAGAAGTTTGTCATTGTTGACAGCCAACAGCTTTTGGTGATCAACTCCAAATTTTCTATCTGGATTTATTTCTATAACCTTTTCCATATTTGGATATGGCTTCAAGGCAGTAGAGTTTAAAAAATAAGTGTTTTGCTTCCTCTAGATGGACTGCCTTCTCGGGATAACAAGCTCTATCTACCCAAAGCAGCTGGTTATGAGGTGCCAGTGGTTCATCCTTGCCCTTTCTTTGGCTTGGGGCTGAACTTAGAGGCTATTTGAAGTGCATGCCATAGGACCATTTTATAGGAATGGAAGTTGTCCCCACCACCAACACTGGCTGTATCAACCTTTGGAACAGACATAATGTCTTTTATGATCATTACATAAATACATAGATGTGTTTTAGGAGCTCTAAAAAAAATTTAAAAAAATTTTTTTTTTATATATATATAAAATTGGATAAACAAAAGCACAACAAAGCAAAACAATTTACAAAAGTGGCATTCAAATACAAATATAAACAAACACAAATCTTGAAAAATTTGGTAATTATGGAAAACGGTCAAACTGAGAAAAATAGAGATTGGGATTAAAGCCTAAAATACTCAGAGATTATGAAGTCATTAATTATAACATACAGGCTTCCCCACAGAAAAACAGGAAATTTGGTACAGTTTATTTAATTGCTGGAATTTTTGTTTCAGTTATTTGAAACAAAAACAAAGGATAGAAATTTAGTAGATTAAAACAGAACAAAAACACACACATGTTCAAACTATGAAAGAATTATTGCAATATTTAAGTAAAAATTTACTAAGCTTAACTTCACAAGTATGTGGTTCCCAATGAGAATTGAACACAATAGTTATGGTCGACTAAACTAGATTGCTAACCATTCTCTCACATGCCAAGGGCAAATATTTAATTTTGCAATTGTATCGAAATTAATCTTACTCTGTATTGCATTATGTTCAACTAGAATAATACCCATCAAAAATGAAGAGTTTATATAGTGATTGATAGTTCTACTTACAGCAGAGCAAATTCTAAATGTTATCTTACAATCGAAAAGAATTTGATCTTGTCATTAATATAACATTTTATTTATATATGTAAATATAGGATGCCCCACAAAAAAAAAAAAAAAAAAAAAATCAGGAAGTTTGGTACAATTTATTCTTTTTTCTTACAGTTATATCAAACAAAAAATGAGGATAGAAATTTAGTGACTTAAAACAGAACAAAATCACACATGTTAGATGTGCTGTTCAAACTAAAGAAGTCTGGCAAAATTTCTTGGCATTTTTTTAGCCCCCAAACTGGATGTTCTTTCTTAAAGAGAATAATCATCTTGCGCTGAAAATTTGATAACTGCAGTACCCTGGAACAACAAATGGTTAAAAAAATTTATATATTAGTTCATTTTTTTTACTTTATTCATATAGTAAAATATATAGTTAATTTTTTTCATCATAGAGTAAATCTAAAATTTCCTGTTTTTTGTGGGGCACCCTATACAATACAAATAATCCATACTACCTTTTGACAGTACTAACACCTAAACTATCAATCGAGAGACAGGAATTTCAAAGATGATTAGTTGGTGTGCAGGTGGTGTAATAGATATCAGCTTGGAATGAGAAATCAGAGAGCCAAGTTCAAATCCCAATCAGGTTCATTATATTCACTTACACGAAAAAACCCTTAGGAAACATATAAATTCATCTCCCCCCAGTTATGGATTAAATATGACTTGTTTCTGAAATCAAGTTTGGTTATTCTTAAAAATTGTTAATGCAATATTCATTCACCAAAAACAGAATTCTTCCTACAATCCAAAACATATGTTTCAACTTTAAATAACCCACAAAAAGGTTGCTAGGCCATAAAAAAAAACAACATAAGAATCAATTCATCAAGTATGAAGAGCCACTTGAAATAGTAGAAAAGCTTGATTTATGCAGGAAAGATATTTGAGTAATCCATAACCTCTACTGGGGAACATAGAGAACGAGTTTAATGAACAGATAAAAATAGAAAGAAGACGTGTTTTCTCGATTTATTTAAACTATACAATGAGAAGAGAACTAGAAGGCCTAAAATGTTTTTTTTAATAGTAGACATAATCTTAACAACATAAGATATATGGATTACACTGTGTTAATAACAGCTTCAGAAAAAACCCTGAAAGAACTCTAATGTAGAAAGCAAGAAGAAAAGACTATCTATTAATTGTAAGACAGAATGCATGGTTATCAGCAAAAGGAAAAACCCAATCTGTGTATTAAGAACATCAAAATTAAGCAGGTACAGAAATTGAACTATCTGGATAGTGTAGCAAAAGAAGATGGAAAATATGGCACAAAATTTCAAAGATTCATAAGAAATGCAAAAGATGCCTTTCAGAAACTGGGTAGGGTATTAAGACATGGGAAAATGTTGTAAGAAGTGCTGAACAGCTATGAAATATTTAATGTTCTATCTGGCAGTAAATGCAAGAAAATGTCCTTATGGATTAAGAGACTGAAGCAACAGATGAGATCTACTGTTGAATGCTAAAAATACAATGGCTGGAACATGTGAGCAACCAAAGTTTAAAAGGGAAAATAACTAAAAGGACACTTAAAATCAGAAAGCAATAGTTGACATTTCTAGGATACATAATGAGAAAAGATGGCCTGGAGAATTTAACACTCATACATCACAAAATATAGTGATCGCAAGAGAAACTGAATGAGACATGTTAGATGTTTGTCTGATGTGACAGCAGAACTAGGACAAATATATAAGGTAAAAGTCAGAAGTTTAGGTAACTGAAGAGAAGAAGTTATGGAAAGCTAGAATTGTTCAAGTTCTGAAGGGTCATAATATGTAAGGGTCATAATGCATAAGATACACTGTATGACTTTTCAAACAGCCACAATCATAACCAGAACTATAAAAATTTGTTATTGGTAAATCTAAGACATTTTCTTTTTTTTTTTTTTTGGCAGTAAGGTTCACACTGTGCAAGACCTTGGGGCCACTCAAGGTAGAGGATTAAATTAAGCCTAGTTTATATGAATAAGAGGAGGAAAATAATGGTTAACTCAAGACTTGAACAGGTTCAGATTGTACTGATCAAAGAAACATCCTCTTGGGAGTCTGTTCTACAGAACAGTGGTTTGCAGGAAGAAGCTGTTTGAGTAGAACTTACTTCTTGCCAATGGAATACGGCGGGAATGCGGCTGTTTTGCTACTATGTAAGTGGCATGGTGAGTCCTAGCCGTGAAGTGGAACCAAGGAGTGTATATTGATAATGATGTTAATAACATTCTTACAAAGAAAACTGAAAGAATTCAAAGACAAATAAAAGAAAAGCAAGAAGAAAGGACTAACTATTAACTGTAAATAGACAAAATGCATGGTTATCAGCAAAAGAGACATTCTACTACGTGAGTTAAGTATTGGAGATGTCAAAATCAAGCAGATACAGAAATTTAACAACCTGCTTAATATTATAACAGACAACAGGAAATGTGAGACAAAAATTTAAAGGTGCATAGGAAGAGCAAAAGATGCCTTCCAGAAACTGATCAGTGTATTAATAGATAAAGAAATATCATTAGAAAGTAAGAAAACAGTGCTAAACTTCTATGTAATGTCCAATTCCCTCTAAGGCTGTGAATGTTGGACAATTTCCTCACAGATGAAGAGGAGATTTGAAATGATAGAGATTTGGTTCTAACAACAAATGCTAAGAATACCATGGACAGAACATGTGAGCAACAAGGAAGTCTTAAGGAAAGTAGGAACTACAGGAAAACTGATACTTAAAATCAGAAACAGACAACTGAATTTTTCTGAACACATTAATGAGGAAAAATACTGAAGAATTTAAGGAGAAAGAAAAAGAGAAAGAAATCAAAAAGCAAAAGCAAAAGAAAAAGGTGAAAGGAAAGGGAAAAGAGGAAAGGGAAAGGAAAGGGAAAAGAGAGGAAAGGGAAAGGGAAAAGAGAGGAAAGGGAAAGGGAAAAGAGAGGAAAGGGAAAGGGAAAAGAGAGGAAAGTGAAAGGGAAAAGAGAGGAAAGTGAAAGGGAAAAGAGAGGAAAGTGAAAGGAAAGGGAAAAGAGAGGAAAGTGAAAGGAAAGGGAAAAGAGAGGAAAGTGAAAGGAAAGGGAAAAGAGAGGAAAGTGAAAGGAAAGGGAAAAGAGAGGAAAGTGAAAAGAGAGAAAAGTGATTTACACATTCATTCATTTATTATGCCTTAACCCCTTTGCAGGTTATTTAAAGCTATAAAATATTTTTAGATATTAAGAGTTTTTTCGGAGATAATAACGATTTAATGACACAAAACTTACTAATTAACCCATAGCTAGTGGGAGAAGAGGTGGATTCATACCTTTTCCTAGGGTATTTGTATGTAAGTGAATATAATGACCCCAACAGGAATTGGAACTTGGCTCTTTGATGAACAATTCCAAGCCATTATCCATTATAACATCCAGTATTCTCAAGCAGTCACCCATCTAGGCACTGACCAGGAAAGAGAAAAAAAGGGAGATAAAAAAAAAAGGAAAAGGAAAAAAGATAAAAAAAAAAGGAAAAGGAAAAAAGATAAAAAAAAAGGAAAAAGATAAAAAAAGGAAAAAGATAAAAAAAAGGAAAAGGAAAAAGAGAAAAAAAAAAAAAAAAAAAAAAGAAAAAAAAAGGAAAAGGAAAAGAGAAAAAAAAAAGGAAAAGAAAAAAAAGATAAAAAAAAGGAAAAGGAAAAAAGATAAAAAAAAGGAAAAGGAAAAAGAGAAAAAAAAAGGAAAAGGAAAAAAGATAAAAAAAAAAGGAAAAGGAAAAAAGAGATAAAAAAAAGGAAAAGGAAAAAAGAGATAAAAAAAAGGAAAAGGAAAAAAGAGATAAAAAAAAGGAAAAGGAAAAAAAGAGATAAAAAAAGGAAAAGGAAAAAAAGAGATAAAAAAAGGAAAAGGAAAAAAGAGATAAAAAGGAAAAGGAAAAAAGAGATAAAAAAGGAAAAGGAAAAAAGAGATAAAAAAGGAAAAGGAAAAAAGAGATAAAAAAGGAAAAGGAAAAAAGAGATAAAAAAGGAAAAGGAAAAAAGAGATAAAGGAAAAGGAAAAAAAGAGATAAAAAAAAAGGAAAAGGAAAAAAGAGATAAAAAAAGGAAAAGGAAAAAAAGGAAAAGGAAAAAGAGATAAAAAAAGGAAAAGAGATAAAAAAGAAAGGAAAAAAGAAAAGAGAAGAGAAAAGAAAAAGAGGAAAAAGAAATTGACTACTAATGCTAATATAGACGATATAGTAGGATAGTAATTATAAAAACAATAGTAAGTATAAATATTGCATGTTGATGATGATGACTATACCATCATTTTTATGGCCATGACTTTTGAATAAATGAACACCCCAGATAATATCTCACTCTTGAGAAAAACATGCATATGAGAGAGAGAGAGAAATATATATACATTATTGATCTAGATTACTTACTTCTTTGTCATTTGTATATGCAGTTTAATATAAATTATGTGAATTATTTTACTTTTTCCTCAGAGATTAATCCCATCAAACTCCAGCATTTTTAAACTCATAGCTAGTGACAAGCAGCATGCTTTTGAGAAAAGAAAGTAAATAAGATTGTGACCCAATCTTATTTTCTTACAATTTTTACTGAATGTTAAAAAAAAAATATATATTTTAGTTGAATTTTATTCACTTTGCTGATTATTTTTCCTTATGTTTCAACATCAGATTGTGGATTCCACATGGATTTGAAACCCTTTCTCATTAAGTTTTGGTGAAAAGCTCTGTGAACCAAATGAATAATATAATAGAAATATCAGATTGAAAAGGTTATTTAGAAAATTGGAGTTAGTGGAATTCTAGCTGAAAGAATATCCGAAAATTGGGCAAAGCACAAACTAACATTTGCTGCCTTCCAAATTCCTGTGAGTTTATATTCCCATTATCAGAACTAGTGGAAAGTACATGTTTGCACTAAATAAATGATCATGATCACAGCCAGTTATAAATGACAACAAAATGATCCTTTCATTACTACTTCTCTAATAACCCCTATCCATGTCATTATCAGATCCCTTCATCACTTCTTCTATATGCTGCATCTCTTCAGGACATAGGCTATCATGGCTCTCCACAATTTCCTATTGTGGCTCTTAGAAGTTTTTCTCCCTTTTCTAAAGCCCTGGCCTTACCATCTATTCACACAAGCTTGACTCACTTCCTTCCCCTATTTCTCTTGTCCTCAGTATGCCTTGTGAGAGTTAAGTTTTCCAAACCTTCCTTCCTTCCTCATTATGTGTCCAAGGAATTTCAGCTGTCTTTTTCTGATTTTGAGTATAAGTGTTCTTACTGTTGCCACTTTGCAAAGACTGACACAATAACAGTATCATTTCTTACTTCTGGCATTGCCGTTTTGAATGACACACTTTCATACATACATGAAATGTTCACATGATGTTGCATCTTTATTTTCTCAAGTCAGTATAAGAAATATGGGGCAATGTTTAACCTTTTTACCCACAAAAAACAGTGCATCAAAAGGACAGTTATTCTCTTGAAAATATTCATAGACAAAGGAAAAAAAAAACATGTCATGGCAGTGCAAAAGTGACTGAAGTCGATATGCCAGGTTAGGATTGATAACATAACAGACTCTTTTCAATTTTTTTCAAGAATCTCAAGATATATATGCAGGAGCACTAGACCAGCTATGGCAGCAATATTTAATGCACAGCTGAATGATAGATTTATAAATATGCAAGATGGATTCTGGCATGAAAAATTGTCAGACACAACACAGTGAACCAACTTTCCTAGCAACAGATCTAGCAATTGATTCAATATAATCAATCCACTTTATGTTAGAGGAAAATGTGAGACTAAGGCAGCACAATGAGTTTCTATCCTGGAGGTTAGCATCAGCCATGCTGACAGAGGGCAGAAATGGTAGGCAAAGAAAACCCAAGACTGTCATAATAACAATATCATTTCTTACTTATTTCTGGCATTGCAATTTTGAATGATTGACATGCTTTCATACACACATATGTTCACATGATATTGCATCTTTATTTTCTTCAGTCAGTATAAGAAATATGGAGCAATGTTTAAACCTTATACCCACAACCCCCCCCCAAAAAAAACATAAAAAAAAATCAGTGTTTCAAAAGGATAGTGATTCCCTTGAAACCAATATAACTGTATACACGTTTGACTCCTTTGGCAATGTTTATTTACAAGATTATAATAATATTTGAACCACGTAATAAGATATATATCATTCACCTTCTATAAGGAATAGGAAGATATGCTCTTCACCTATTTTAGTGAATTTATGTCATATAACAACAAATGAAAGAAATGTCTTGAAAATGTGTCTTTTCAAAAAAAATTTCTAATTACAGTTACTCATTATATTTAAATTTTCTTTTCAGACATTTTTATAAATTTATGAAGAAAAAACATATCTTTTTCATCTGTATTTCTTTATAAAATGGTAAATATATATTTCATTATTATTGGTTCAGATATTTTATAATCTTGTGAATATAAATTATTCTTGTAAATAAGCAATCTTATAAATAGTGTTTAACATCTTTGTTGTCATTTCTCAAGAATAAGGAAAATGTATAAATCCATTTTCATATGTTTGGGTTTTATTAAAGTCTAATCATTGCTTTTAAAAAACAAGCAATGCTGATGAAGTCAAAACTTTTTTTTTTTTTTAATCATCTCACCCCATGCAAGGCTCCAAAATAGTTAAAACATAAGGGGTTACTGAGTGTGAGAGAATAAGACAAAAGAGAAACAGTATCAAGGAATGTGAACAATGGAAGAATAATCAAGAGTACACTAGATGACAATTGACATCGCATTTAAATTTTTGAAAAATTGGCTGGAAAACAGAGCCAGAAGAGAGTTCCACAAGTAAGATGTGCAAGAAAAAAAACTATTAGTTACATCTAACCAATTCAACTGTGTATTGATGAGACCTTGCCGCCAATCTAGTACTGTGCTGAAAGTATTTACCAATTTATAAATAACTATGAAGACAAGTTTTTTTATTCATTCTAATAAATAAATAGTGTTTAACATCTTTGTTGTGAAATCTCAAGAATAAGGAAAGTGTATAAATCCACTTTCATATGTTTGGGCTTTATTAGAATTCAAAATATTGCTTTTTAAAACAGACAATTCTGAGGGAGTCAAAAATCTTGCCTTTTTTAAAAAAAAAAAAAAAAAAAAAATCATTCCATTCCATTGCAAGGCAGTAAAGCCACTAAGACACAAAAGGTTACTGAATGTGAAAGAATAAAAAAAAGAGAGAAACATTATTAAGGAGAGAGAACAATAAAAGAGTAATCAAGAAGTGAGGAGATAACAGATACTCTTTAAGACTTCCCTGTTGTTTACTCACTCCATCCACAGAATTTTTCAGTATCCTTCTTCAAAACCACATTTCTGTTTCCTTTATATTCCTCATCCATGAGTAAACTGTCCACTATTCATTGCCATATAAGAGGATGAATATCAGATATCAATCCTTCACCATTTTCTTTGTAATGAAATCTTTCCGTTTCTCAGTAATTTGCTTAGCATTTGGACTGCTTTTTTCACTAGTTCAATGCATGTTCGGATCTCGGTGTCATATTTTCCATCCTCTGTTAAAACAATTCCCAGATATTTGAATTTCCAATTCATAATTTGCATCTTCAACTTATTCTTCCTTCATCACTATTTTCTTTATAATCCCTGCCCATCTTAATGTGTTCTATTGGATTAACTATTCATGCAGATATTTGAACTTTATACCTGAAAAAATGTTTACTAAATGGGAGAAATTAAGTACCTTAACTAGTAGATATAAGAAAATAATACAAACCCTAAATTTTAGTAATGGAAATGAAAAAAAAAACTATGCAAAAAAAGCATTTTCAAACCAAAAATGGAGAAAAATATCTAAATTGGAAATGCCCAATTTCATTGCCTGCAAATTTAAATGTGCAAAAAGCAATGACGCAGACTTGTGGGTGATGAAATATTTTCTAATTGTTTCCCCACAGACAAAATGTTACAAGTTTCTTACTACTAAATGCTATTTTATGACTTTCACACTGAACAAAAAAATTCTCATTCCCATCATATTTCATTGGTAAGAAGGAAGTTCCACTCAGATAGCTTCTTCCACAAAACTGTTACTTTGTGGAACAGACTCCC